GGTCAGTCGTTTGCAAAAAGCCCAGTATAGAGCTTTCATGCCCTTCATCTGTGACGTTGAGTATGCACGATGGCGTAGTTTTTTTTTCCTCTGGGAGAGACTGGTCATCAAACTGGTTAAGTGCATTCAAAAGAACTTATTTTTGCATGCTATATTCTGGGCAGTCACAGAGGCCGTGTCGAATAGTGTCATCTACGCAGTGTGCGCAGATGATGGTGTCACCCATTCCTATGCGGGATGTATACGCATGGGTAACGTGACCACCAACCCTAATCTGCACAGAAGAGTAGCCTCACTTCACCGGACTCTTGCTTCATATCGTAAGTTTACAGTAAGATCAAGGGAGCGTTATCTTGTAGGCGTAAAATGCGACTCATTTCATTGGGACATGGAGCATTGGTGAGTAAGCATGCGGAGCTTCCTAACAGCGCCGGTCCTAAAAAGAGGTATTGATAGGTCGTGTTCTTCTGTTCAGAATGAACGAGCAGCTTGATTGGCCTGGTCATTAACCATAACTCCACAGTGACTTCGCAGCCACTATGATATAATGTGGTGCCCTTCCTTGGTTAATGGTGCAAAAATTCTGCCGTCTCAAATGACCAACTGTTCGTGCGGACCACACCGTATACAGATGACAGAAGAGACCGCAGTGTTGCCTTGCAGTCGCTGAAGATCATCCACTTTGTGTCCTTTGGTCGCTAATGATATGCAGTTTGGGGTGAAGTGCTGCAAGAAATGCTGCCGTTGATGTTGTTAGGTGAGCTCTCCTGAATTTGGATGGTTGAGGTGCGAATTGAAATCTTGACCTGCCCCTGTTGAGCTGTTCGGCAGAACAGAGTCGTTGGTGTAGACGGGGAGGCAATCTTGGTACTCCTCGTACAACAGAAGCAAAGTGAACTGCCCATGTGCTGCACTGCTGGGAAATCTTATTTTTTCGAGATGACTGATTTTGTCAGGTTGATAACTAGTTGTTTGAGGCATTATGGAGGAACTGAACGTCTCGCTGCAGGCGTGTAGTCAGTTGGTGAGAGGTTTCTTGTGCGGTCACTATTTGGAAAAAAGGAATTCTGGCCTGTCCACTTGTATAGAGGCTAGGTGGTGTTGGGGAGGCCGGGAAACATGCCTATGTGTGTCCTCAGCACTTCAACCTAAATACGCGTCATCACGAGGTGGTCGAGGTCGAAGGCTATGGCTACCACTGTTCAAGCACTCTAAGCCTAGACATATGCACAACGCCTAACCAACGTTTTGTATCATGCATCGACTTGTTTTGGTTGGTTGGGCTTGAGAATGTGGGCAGACTGTATCGTAGAAATTCAATAAATAGCGTCATGTGCAGTTGTAGCATTGCACTGGGCTGCATTCCGCAAGTCTTTAAAACAAAAAAACTTCAAGAAGTGGCATATGCCCGACACCCGAATTTTCAGGTATGACACCTTAAGACTCCAGGACATGTCTCTTTTGAATATAACACGCTCACGTTTATGAAACCGACAGTACTATATATTTTAACCATTGACTGACGCACTGTTTTTTGTCATGGGTTTGACTGTAATTGTCGGAGGAGCGTGCTTTCCGCAAAATGTTTGTAGGCCTCGATTATGGAGGTACAAAGCAGTCGCAGTAGCAGCCCTCACTCGAGACTTCAGGCGAGTTACCACGGGTGCCCAGATGCAGATGTCATCTGCGTAGGCTGATAGACAAATATTGCTTAGTAGGGGCAAGCAGAGCGATCAGCGTTTAATTGAATAGCACGGGGCTCAATAAAACACCCTGAGAAACTCCACGAGAACTAGTGTGTGGAGAGGTGTGACCGTCCTCCCTGCTCAATAAGGATGGCATGTAGATATAGCTGCGTATCCACTTAAACATTCTACCACCCAGGCCAACCTTGTGCTGCAAAGACGGATTCACGAGAAACGCTCTCATAGGCTCCTTTGACTTCGAGGAACGAAAATGCGAAAAGACTTTAAGATATTTCTCGCGCTCAACGTATGTGAGCAGCTACACGACGCTATCAATCGATGATCGACAATATCGAAAGCCGGCCATCACATCTGTGTACATGTCATTGTACTCTTGCACAACCCCCCTCCCGGCGTCCGGCAATCATTATCTTAATTACTTTACCGACAGAACTAGTCAATGCAATTGGCTGATTAAGTTCATCTCAATTTTCGTACTCTTGAACATGGCTGCTTTCCAAGAATATTTTTTATGCAACTTGCAAATTCTCAAAATTCTCGCGTCACAAAGTTTTCTGCAATATTAAGGAGCCTAGGCGTGTAATGGTTTCACATTTCGACGAATAAATGATTTTTCGCCAACTATGAGTCTGGCGTTTTTATTGTTTTCTGTCACGTTTATACAAGGTGTAGTACTTCACAATACCTCCACGTGGTCTAAAATTTTGCGATACTCTCATTTCTTGAGAAAAGTGCGCAATGACAAGTATAATTACGTGACCATTTTTTCCTCTTTCTACGGATACATGTTAAAATAAAGCAAAGAAGAACAATCTAATGCAGAAAATGTCTTCATATGAACGTTATACCATGTTTATTGAGCAGTAACATTGTCACCCTTAAGGCTAAGCACAAAAAAATTGAAGTACTTCCAATCACGCCCAAGTACGAGCTGCGGCATTGAGAAAGAGGCCATGCCCATGCACGAGCTGTCATTTTTATTATAAAAACAAGTCTTTACAAGAACAAAGCCAGCCATTACCAAAGCCAGCCATTTGTATTCTCGTATATATATTTTTTCTTACATTCAAACCAAAATGTGTGGGTACGAGGAAGTACTAGGTTTAAAATATGTTCACGTTTTCAACCACCTCAAATTGGGAGTGAGTGCAAATGCATGTTTGCAAAATAAGTGCATAGTTTGAAGGCGTTTTCAACGAAAGGAGTTTCGGACAAATTGAAATTATGTTGTGACAAAAAAGAAAAATGAAAGAAAGGATTAAAACAAGGGTGTACCCATTGATTTTCCCCGTGCATGTTCTCTTTTCCTAGGAAACATAGCAAATGAGTAGCGTTTCAGAATAATGACAGTTTAAAAAAATTGCATATCCCACGTACCTTGAAAATTGGCTTCTTGAGAAGGATACAGAAAAAAGGTAACTTTGTAATTTTTTTGAGCGACACGTAATAAAATTACGCTAATTAAAAATGCAAATATTTGCACCAAGGACACATGTTGAACACTTGCAAATATTTATATAACCAGTTCTTTGCACTTGCACCACAGAGCCAAAATGAGTATTATCAACGCCAAAAGCGCTAAGCTAATATGAAGCACTAGTGTTTGCTAGGATAGTATCCCTGGACACTGCTACATAAATCAACTTCAGCGCACGACACCTAACTACAATTGACGTCAACACAACATGACCACTCTATGATAGGAGTACTTATGAAATGTTTATAAAATTCGATAACACAGCACGACAAACACAATAGAGGTTTGACGAAGAACAGCGTCTATTTCAAAAGTAGCTGCAAGACGTGGCGTGGCTCTGTCGTAGAATGCTTGATTGTCACGCAGAATGCTGGGGTTTGATTCCAACTTGGACCTTGACACTGATTCCATGCATTCGTCGGGTCAACGCTGCCGATGTCCGCTTTTCCTTAAAGATCACGCGTTAAAATTACCCATGCGTGTTCTCACCATTCCTGGACAGGCACAAAGTGCCTATCATCTGTAGCACATACCCGCATACCGGTGGCACATACCCATTCGTGGGTACGTGCCACTGTGTGGCGCGAAGTGTTTGATGAGTACGCGAGCGGATAGTGACATTACTCATGTCTTGACTAGTGCGTCATACTCGTCAAATTATCCTACTATTCTATTGTAACTTTGGTTTACGCCAGGTTAATTAAAGAGGTTATTACGAGAGCACCTAGATGCAAGCGGCTAGATAATTAGGTAGATAGATAGACAGATACGTAGATAGACGCCAAAAGTTCTTGCAGTACGCGAAGAAAGGCATCGCATTTAAAACTACGTGTTTGCATGAATCTTCGCGTAGACAGCTCAAGGGGCAACACAAAGTAAAAACGGCAATGTTGCTTTAGCTCCTTGCAGATTTTGCTCTTTGCTTCTGCTTATTAATTTTTGAAGAATTCTTGTGTTAAACTACAAAAAATTACTGAACAGTAACACAAACAGAATAAAAGGGAATCTGCAAATCACACGAATAATTTATGTCTACGTGAAAATTTGAAAAAAAGATAGTACGTACGCTCACGGGGAAGGGGTGGATAAACAACAAAGCACCTATTTATGGTACGTACAAAATTATTGAAACGCGACACCTCGTAAATTTTGTCAGAAAGTAAAACGCACCTGCTACCAACAAACAAATTACTCTTGCTCTGTACTAAGCTTTAGAGACATGAAAATGTGTGGTGATTGTTAGGACAGTCACTGCACATCACACTTATTCGCCCCGACGCGGTGGTCTAGTGGCTAAGGAATTCGGCTGCTGACTCGCAGGTCGCGGGTTCGTATGCCGGCTGCAGTGGCTGCATTTCGATGGAAGCGGAAATGTTGTAGGCCTGTGTGCTCAGATTTGGGTGCACGTTAGAAAACCCTAGGCGGTTGAAATTTCCGGAGACCTCCCCTACAGCGCCTCTCATAATCATATGGTGGTTTTGGGGCGTTAAACCCCACATATCAATGAATCAACATCACACTTATTTGATAACAACAAATAGCTCAGTTTGTAAAAAGTCATGGTGGCCACAATGCTTTGCTCCCCTGCATTTGAATTGTAAACATGAAGTGATATCTTGATTACTCCAAAAATCCCCCATTTTCTGTGACCTCCATCGAAGCATTGTTGTCACTGGGTGCTTACTGTTGGGAATATTTTAAAACATTAACCACCATAGCTTCTATCGCAGTGCGCAAAAGTAAATGGGGAAATCTGCTATTGCAAGTGAGATGAAAACGAACAAGCAAAGCCGCTAGAAAGAAGAAAATTTTCAACGTCTGAGAAAATAAATAACATGCTTTATTTTCATTTTTCTCAGCTGTATTTACAGTGAGCAGTTTTTCTCTTAATGGCGACAGTGATTTCACTTCAGTTGAATTGTAGTTTCCACGTTAGACTATCAGAACAGGTCCCTGGGATCAAGTCATGAAAGATAGTTTTCTTTTTGGCAGTTCTTCCGTAGCCTAGAAAAAAAAAAGATGAGTGGAGGTTAAAGAACGGTACGTAGCTATACACATTGTTTTACAATTCACATTTTGAAATCAAACGAAAAAAGTGATAGATGTAATCGCAAATCAAGAACGTTTCATTCTTGATTTGCGCTTGGCTACTGCTTGTCTACACATGCTGCAAAGAAGCTCATGTACCTGCTCGGTTGTAAAACATGTTTTACCAAAACATGGGTGCTTTAGAGAAATCGCAATAGGATGCGTGATCATGCCATATCTTAGCAATGAAAAGAGCAGTTCAATGTAAAACAAGGCACTGGATCTTACAATAGTAAATCAATGAGTATTTCGCACACCACAATCCCGTATATCAGTGCCATAGCATTTAGCATCATATTATTACCGACCTTTGCAAACCTACGGAGTCACAATAACAAGAATTCACGTGTACGTGGAAGCTAGTGCAAGATATAAAACACTTTTTACAGCCAAAACGAATACATTAACTCACTTATCAGGTACGTTCTCTCAGCTCAGCCGAGGTAGCCTCCTCCCTGAGATCCGTACTGGTTGAAGGCACCACCAGCACCACGGTTGAAGCCAGTGTTGAAGCCTCCACCACCAGATCCGTAGCGGTTGAAGGAGTTCCGGTCGTAGCCTTGGTTGGTGCGGTAGCCGTCGCGGTTCCTGAAGCCCTGCACATTGTTGTAGCGATTGGCGCTGTCAAAGCCACCGCTGCCCTGGTTGAAGCCTGAGCTTCCACGGTTGAAGCCGTATTGGTTGCCGCCTGACTGCTGGCCATAGCCACCGCCGAAGCCAATCCGGCCTTCGACGTCGTCCTTCTTCTCTTCCTTCTTCTCTTCCTCAGCGTAGGCCAGTGCAACAACGACCACAAGGGCCACGATAACGAACTATATATTGATAAAAAAAAACAGACACCAGACCATGAATTTCAATGAGCTTTACTGCGCTGCAGGCGCGCTTTAAGTACACTAACTGTGATATTGCAGTCTATGGACTAATAAAGACAACTACGTGATTTACTCTACAGCTTTAGAGCCGAGTGGTATCTTAATGACAAGGACACCTCACACACTCTGACAAAGCAAGATGCACTTTGAGAGGAGAAACAATATTTGCCTTTTATCGGTCATATATCTGTAATTAGCCCTGTGGAAAGTTTCATTCTATGTATTCCCGAAAAGGCACCCCAGAATTACTGTAAGCGAATTTCACATCCACTGAAAGACTGTGATTTTTTAATGATACATACAGCCTTCGTGAATTTGGTTCTGACTCAACTTAACCATGAAATGACATCTTGGACAGCACACTTTCAATTTAGGTATAATGCATATCCCATAGTTTCTTTATATCTACAGCTAGATATTCAGAATTTTCAAAATCTTCCATTTAGATATAATGATGCTCGAGGACGGATCTAATATTTATTTTTGTAATTCTAAGCCTGGAGACTGAAAGAGAAACGGTGCGTAACATTTCTCGCCCAGCAATTTTTCTTTTGTGTGGCGTCATAACTAATTTGTAATATCTTCTGTAAATGAGGTTTAGAGATTATGCGAATTATGACAAATGCTTGACAACTTACTTTGCTTTCTATAGTTATCTAGCCACGGCCCCTTCAGTGATCATTCATAACGAAAATCATCCGAACATGACTCACCAACTTGCTTGCCATGTTGGCTGGAGGGTGCTTGGATTGGAGCGCTTAGACCAACTTTGACTCTCCGGCAGAGTCAGGCGTCACTTTTATAGTACCCAATGCGTTGACCCATTGGCTGGAATTTTCCTGCTCTCAGCCGGCAACGCTTCTTTTCTGTGTTTTCTCGAATTGCCGCCAAACGCGGGAATATCCCCTCACCCTCGCCTACAGTCGGCCAGCCTCGAGCTGTTGTTGTGGTGCGGCTGCTGCTAGCGTTGGCTGGCAATCCGCTTGCTTCGTCCGGACGACACATCCACCGGAACGTGAGGCAGACGCGAAGGGAAGATGGCACTCCTCAGACGTTCCCAAGGTGAAAAGAAGTACAAACACGGAACACCAAAATCAAATATCGTCTCCACTGACAAAAATGAAGAGAACTGGTGAAGATAGAAAAGGTGAGACGAGAAAAGAAAGGAGAATGAGAAAGAAGTTGGTGCGTGAAACGAGGAGAAAGTGGAGCTCTAAGTCGTTCATTACTTTGATGCCTAAGTAGGCGCCCTCTTTTGCAAGCACCTCAATATACCAGTGACGCGATAAAAAGCGGAGACGTAGAGCATAAATGGATAGTGTCCCCTTACGCACGATGAACGTGTCATAGACATGGAAGGTCGTATCCGGGAATACGGTGCATTGAAATCATGAATAGTAAAGAACCCATAATTTTGTGGCAAATGTGCTAAAGAACTCTAATTTGGTCACACAAAATATCTCTTTTGACGAGTCCTTCACTGATTCCGCCCTCGTCATCCCACCGCGGTGTTCTACTAGCGAAGGCTTTCGGCTGCTGGCCCGCACGTAGCGAGATTGCATGCCGGCTGCGGCGGCAGCAATTTTGATGAAGGTGAAATTGCTGTAGGCCCGTCTGCTCAGATATCGGTGCATGTTAAAGAACCCAAGGTCATCAGAATTTCCGGATCTCTCCTTTACAGCGTCCTTTATAGCCATATGGTGGTTTCGGGACGTTAAAGCCCAGATATTATTAATAATTCCACGCCCTTAACATAGCTGCGTTTTGAGAATATTTTTCACACAGTCGGACATTCTCCGAAATTTCCACATCCCAAAATTTTGTTCTTGTATTAAGGAGACCTGTTATAAAGTTGATTTACACTTCGAAGTAGGATATTGTTTCCTGCCAGCTATGGATCTTATGACTGCAATGTTTTCATTTTGTTACATTATGTTTCTAGAATCGTCATATTTTGCAATAACTACACGCGAACAACAATTTTTAGGAATTGTCATAGCTCCAGAAAAGTTGGCAATGAGAAATGTGATCACACGACCTTTTTTTTCTTTTGCCATTCAAACCATAAAAATTAAAAAGGAAGAAATACTTTGTAATGTAAAAAAACATAATCACATAAAGCTTGCTGTTTCACTGAATAAACAGTAGCCCCAGTCACGTATTAGACTAAGTGGAAAGCAAATGAAGTACTCCTAACGAAGCTCAGGTACGGTCTGTGGCGTCCAAAAAGTGACAGGGCCCATGTGCGGCCTCTCATTTCCATTACAAGAACAAATCATTACAAGAAGAACGCTCCTCCCTGATATAGTCAAAAAGCCAATGGTTTTTACTCTTGGATAAAGAGTTTTTTTCTTTTATTCGCAAGAAAAGGTGGCGTGTTAGTATTTCTCCACTGCATGTAAAAGTAAGTACGAGGTTTCAGACCTGGTCATAATTTGAGCTACCTCAAATTGTTGCTGGGTGCAAATTACTGTTTACAAAAGAAGTGTGTAGCTCGAAGATCATTCCAACAAAAAAAGTGTTGCACAAACAAAACTTTTCTCGCACCAAAAAAAAAAAAAAAACGGAGGGGGTATACCTGTTCATTTTGCTCTATGTATTTTCCTTTTCGCTAGTCAACATAGCAAATTACTTACCTTTTCAGAAATAATGATAGCTTAAAGAGTACTTATTAGCAAGTGCACGCGCAAAAAGCTAGAAAGGAAAAATAAGGTATGAATAATGACAGAAAAAACTTTCTTACCTAAAGATCTTGCTGTTTGCTTCAGCCTATCAAATTTTGTAGGTTTCTTGTGTTCAACTACAAAAAAAGATCCCTGGACCGTAAAACAAACAGAAAAAAGTAAACTTGCAAAATTAGACGGCTATTGCACTTATATGTTAAAATTTTAAAGGTTCTTGTACGCTCATAGAAATGTGTTGGGCAAACAGTAAGCACCTATTTACGTTACGCTGACTATCTTTGAAATGTGATACTTAATCAATGTCGCCACAAACACCAATGCACCCTTTGTGAGAAATAAAAGTATTTTTGCTCTGTGCTCAGGTTTAGAGGCATGTGCATTTTGGTGATGGTTGTCATAGTTGTTACAATTAGTCAATAAAAAAAAGTCACAGTTTCAACACAAAGGTGAAGCAATGATTGGAAAGCAACAAATTGGAAGGTCCCGCGCAGACTAGCAAGCAGATCAAAACATGCCCCGCGTTTCTCACGCACAAATAACGCACGAAACGTACTCACAGGTACAGATGAACGTGAATAAGCTTCTCAGTTGTTATTTCACTGTGTCTGAAAAGCGCGCTCTTTTCGCAAACGGAGACTGGGCAGCGATTGCAGTGACCTTTGCGCTCCCGGTAACTGCAACAGAATTGTTAGAGTGAAAGCTTAAGGACAGCCAAGACATAAGATGATCGCAACCACAAGGTAAGGGTGCGCGAGTGGGCGTTTAGGGGCTTTACGATTACCCACTCCTCTCCGCGAGGCAAAGTACGCGTGGGAGATGAAAGCGGGTGCCGGCGCGCGCTTGTTTCGCCATCTTTCTGTTAATGATGAAAACACGACAGTTACCCTCCGAGATGTCCCTCACTAGTGGTGAGTGGTAGATATACATAGCTTCCCGTTTTCATGTTGAAGGATATGCTCCTCGGCGGCTTATTCTTCTTTCGACCACGGTAGTGAACGAACGCAGGATGCAGGGCTCTGTCGGAGTGGCCACAGCGGCCCTTGAGGGCCGCGGTAACAGGTCAACTCAAAAGTATCAAGTGATTCTGCCTCATCCATCAACAGAACTCGTTGCCTTACATACTCTGTTTTTTTTTCATAGAGACGTTCGAGCGAGACCCTATATGGTTGAAGACTTCAATAATGCGCTGGGTCCCACTGGACTGCCATCGGACGTCATTTCACTCGGAAACGTACCAGATTAATCACGTCTGAGTGGTTACCCGGAGCGGCGAAGACGCGACGAAGTAACTGCTGTCCTTCAAGGAACTTCAGGTGTAAAGACGACGGTGTCTCATTGTCGATTCCCAGGACCAGCAGACAAAACTGCGGTTTCATTGGCTGCTTTACGGAGTCGCCGGTGAGGATGTGCCGATGGCATTCGCGGATTTCCGCAATGTGGTCGAAGTGAATCGGGAACGCTGGAGAGTCGATGGTGTCAGCGACAAAAGGTGAATGACCAGAACTGTGCAACTCAAGTTAAAAAGTGGAATTACGGTTCAAGACTTGCCGCTCCAAGTACGCGTTGCAGGGAAATTGGCCTTAGTCATTGCACCGGGCAGGCCTATGCAATGCTTGCAGTGCAAAGAGACTGGTCATGCACTGCGGCACTGCAGGGTGCCGAGGTGTTCAATTTGTCGGCGATTTGGGTATCAAGACGCCCAGTGCGTCCGGACATACGCAGCTGTTACGAGCGCTGCAACGAACGATGAGATTGAAGAGCAGATCATGGACACCACTCCAGTTTTCTGGATGAACGTGGGTCGGTTTTGCCTGAAGATTACGATACAGCGTCTAAACCTGAGGAGAAAGAAACGGCCATGGCAGACACCAATCAAGAGGACCCCATTTAGGACGCACAATGCCAACCAGCGGACATGTCGACGCAAGCTTCAGCAAGACGCGGCATGCCAGCGAACCAATGAGCCGCAAGATTAACATGAGCTTAGCGGTTAAGCGTTCGCTAGAGAAATCTGCGGGCACTGCTCACGAGAGCAAAGTTGAGAGACCACCGGCGAAGGTGACACCAGCGTGGCGCTCGGGCTTCAGAGCGATGTACAATCTACCCCCCTTTTTTTTTAGTGTGTAACAATGACTAATCACTTGGCACTGAGCTTTGCAACCTTAAATATCAGAGGTTTGCCCTCCAAGAAAAAGGAGGTTGAAGCACGTAAAAGCACCCCAGGTGGTCGGAATTTCCGGAGTTCTCCACTACGGCGTCTCTCAAAATCATAAGGTGGTTTTGGGACGTTAAACCCCACATATCAATCAATCAATTATTCAATCAATCAATCAATCAATCAAAAGCAGGCTGAAGTGTACAGCTTGGTAATTGACCAAGATATCAACGTGTTAGCCGTACAGGAGACAAAGGTGAAAGGTGAGGAGGAGACCCGGAGCATGATGCTGCGGTTTACGTCGAAATATTCCGTAGTTAGTCACGCAATTGGAAATTCCGCTTGTGTTGCGGTTTTTCTTAAAGAAAGATTCCAGGAATAATTATTCAAAGTCACTTCTCTTCCGGCTCTGGCAGAATAGTGATTTGTGATTTTAGTACGAGTAAAAGTAACTGGCGCGTCATTGTGTCTATGCGCTGAACGTGGAGGCAGACCGGGAAAATTTATTTTTGTGAATTGGGAGATTTCAGTTGTGTATTCAGCGTGCAGGATATAATTACCGCCGTGTGCGAGATAGATGTTAAAAATACTTTATGACTTTCTGAATGAATCCAATCTAGATGATGTAGTGGAGTGCCTCGAGGCAGGCCGTAAAGTTCGTTTCACGCATTTTCGGGGAACCAGTCATGCACGCCTTCATTAGTTATACATGGCTGAGGCTGCGATAGCTAAATTTAATAGTTACACAGTCTTACCTGCTTTTTTTATCATCGTCTTGTACAATTGTAGGAGATTGTACGGAGATTTAACAACAGCCCATGGTATCTATGCTAACGTTAAATGGTTTAAAACTCTATTAAAATACCTAGGCGTGCCTTTTCAGCTATACAAAGACACTAATGACTTCTGAACTGAATAAATAAAAGAAACGTGTGAAAGGACAGCGCCGTGGAACGACAACTGTCTCTTAATTTTTGCCAAAGCCACTGTGTGCAACGAAATTTAAATGAGCAAATTATAGTATGTGATGCAGGTTTTGTGTTGCTCGCGAGGGCACGTGCAAAAGATTCATAGAATA